GTGTTGTTCAGCATGGGGGTGAGTAGAAAATGAAGGCTAATCATGTTTTGGGTGTACTATTCCTTTAAGGCTCCCATTATAGAGGGCTAATAAATATTATTAATCCATCTTTAAACAGTCTTTCATGTGTTTATATACATGCAACTGACCAGCTGGTAAAAAGGCTCCTCGAGTAAATATTTAACTGTGATCAGATAGACCATAATATAATATTACAGTATATGAATGAATGATAGAACAGAGTGAACTGCCTCCAATTAAAATATATGATATTTACAGTAAATTATGGTGGGAATTCACTTCAGTTGTTGTTGCAGGTAAAGAACATGTACTATAAATGGAAGTTTTACATTTTTTTTTACATTTTCTTTTCTTTACAGGATTTCTTTTTATTTGTTAATCATATGAAAATTTACAAATTTCATTACCGGTACTTTCAATCACTACCTTCCCTATTCAATGAAACTTTGCTGCTAGAAATACGTCTTCATTCCTCACAGCAGAGGAAAGCCCGCCCCCAGAAGTAAAGAGAATGGGATTTTTAAACTGGATCTGAAAACAATAAAGTTACTAAAACTCAATCTGAGAAGGAGACATTTGAAAAAGATCAAGTTTGAAAAAATAAAAAAAATAAAAAAAACTTTTTTGATTAAGAAGTTTTTTAAAGTTTAATTTCTGGATTGCATTTTTCTTTACAAATTTCCTTTTACAGAACGTTTTCTTTGCCTGTAATGGAACAAAGTCCACTCCATGTTATGCTACCTTGGCCTCCAAGTCATAAATGTTTTAGCAAATAAAAGTAGCATTAAAACAAACAAAAAATAAAATACTGATTTTAGCTTTAACTGTCTGTTTCTACTGTGTTTTAGCTTAGAATATGCTTTGTCAGCTAAATAAGGCCAAAAAATGTTAAGTAAAAAAAATACTTAAATAAAAGTAAATAGTATGGCGCAGTAAAACTACTTCTAAAAATGCATTTTTGTCAATAAGTTATTCAAGTAAATGTAACTAGTTACTGTCCCGTGTGGTTAGCACCTCGTAACAATACGAATTTGCAAACAGATGTTTTTTGGATGCATAATAAACCCTTATGAATGCGTTCTAAAGTGTTCCCAGATGAATTAATGAGCTCTGTCTGACTGAAACCCTCTGATTGGACCAGAGCAGAGATTCAAACTAAGCAAACCTCAGTGATGGAAACAAGAGTGAGACAAAATTCCTCCTCAACAGCCTTAGAGACTAATAAAGTCATCATGGGAAATGTGTGTAAAATAACTGCATTCATTTGGTTTTTAGACATAAATTCTTCTCTCTTCCTGAATGAAACAGGTGACTCACCTGGTGATCCGACGCCCCCAGTTCTTCCAGTTTAAACCTGGAGATTACATCTACATCAACATCCCGGTGATAGCCAAGTACGAGTGGCACCCGTTCACCATCAGCAGCGCCCCCGAGCAGACAGGTGTGAACCGGATCTTTGGGTCGGATCGACGGGCTTGTTACGCTCCGCGGCTCTAAACCTTTATATGATATTCAGCTTTGAACAGACAGTCAGCAGGTCACATTAGGATCCATTTTAGGAGCAGAGATTGAACACCAGATAAAACAAGTGCTGTCATAGCAACATGAGTGTTCTCATCAGGAGGTGACGTCAGCTCTTTGACCTCTGACCTGCAGACACCATGTGGCTTCATGTGCGCTCCATGGGTCAGTGGACCAACCGCCTGTACGAGTACTTCAGGCAAGCCGAGAGCCAGGAGGTTTGTCCCAAGAGGCTGGCCACCAGCCTGAGGAAGCGCCAGCAGCAGGTAGGAACCTCTGGAAACATCTGTAGCTGGCCAGCCTTACAGAGTCTCATAGGTGTCTGTGCTGCGCAGAAGGACCAGATGTTCCCCTGCTCTGACTCTGAGGGGGCCGTACCTTCTAACCAGGACGACGACGTCAAGCTGACCATGTTCCGTCAGAACGGATCGCAGTCCGGATCGGCCTCAGAGGAGCCGGGACTGGCTGAACGAGGGGAGGGCTCCCTGCTGAGGGAGGTGTGTCCCAGCGTGTTTATTCTAAACTCCTCTATTGACCTTCAGTGGTTAGGCGTACAGAGGGAGAGAACAGATTAAGACAAAAAACATTCAGGAAGAACAAATGCTGGGCAGATATTAATGAAGGCACAGATTGAAGAATTGATTCACTGAGTTTATGATTCTAACAGATGTTCAAACTGTTTATGCATTAAAATCTATGATGGATGTGGAAAACTGAAATGATAGCAGGGAGGTTCTGAGACAGACAGAGATCCTACAGAGCTAAAGGAGGCTGTCAGAAACATCCATCCATCCATCCATCCATNAAGGGCTAAGTCTACTCTGATCACGGGACGTTGTTTATTCCCTACTGCTATGACATGAGAGCTGTTCTGCTCATCTCTTCTGCTCAGTTTATGACGGTAAATATGTTAAGGTAGCATGGAACCCTCAATCTGGCTGATGTACCTCTTCACAGATACCATATTCACAGATACCACTTACTTAGATTTTCTTTTTCTTTTTTCTTTCCCTCCAGCTTCATTGCTTTCTTTTGTAAATCTTTAACCCCTTTATGTGTATCTCTGTGAACTGAGACCTTTTGGTCGGAATTAAATGGCTTTTTTACTTATTTATTATTATTTTTTTTTTTTTATTTATTTATTATTATTATTATTATTTATTTTTTTTTCCTCTTGTAAATTTTTCTTTTCTTTCAATCACTTAATAATGATCAACATATCACCTTAAGACATAGAGTGGCAAACTGAGTGAGAGACCGTTAAGACTGACAACTATGGTTATAACTTGTTCTTCAAAAAACATTAAAAAGTGGTGTAAGTTATATTTTTTTCACCTGGGCGACCTCTTGAACAAGAGGTTATGGAAGCAGAAAGTGATATCCTGTTGGGATCGAAGGTGTGGGGATACTTGGTTTGTATAAGGCTATCGGGGATGGGGAAGATGCAGAGGAGTGCATTGTTCCTTTTTTTTTTTTTTCTCCCTTGGGCTCAGGAGGCATATCAGACCTGGAAGAGGTTATTCTTAGTTTTTCAACTCTATGACAGCTCAGGATAAGAATCTCCGCTTTATTTCCTGGAACCTGAAGGACATCAACCAGACCATTAAATGAAACAAAGTAATGGCCCATTTACATCAACTCAGGGCTGATATTTTTTTTCTGCAGGAAACTCACCTCAGATCCTCAGAAGTTAACTGTATTAAGCGATCTTGGATAGGACATGTATTTCTCTCCAAATTCCCTGTAAGGGCAAGGGGCGCAGCTATCCTGATACATAAAAATGTTCCATTTGAATTATCAAACTCCATTGAAGACCTTAATGGTCGATTTGTAATAATTTCGGGTAGACTATGTGGCATTCCTGTGATAATGGCCTGTATTTATGCACCAACAGTGGATGA